ACGAAACTGCGGCAGCTACAACCACTGTACGACGAGTACGCGGTTCTTACAGCTGACAAGGATGATGATGATGAGATTTCAGCCTCCTGGTAGTATCTCAGCTCATATACAGCCATGAACATGACAGATAAATGTACATTCTCACCACACCGACCGTCGCATGGAGACGTCGGGCGGGTCGATTAATTCGTACTGGCGAATGGATGAACAAAATCATGTAACTGCTGACGCCCCCGTCTTTCTTCATCGTTATCTCTTAACTCCCCACTAGTTCCACTTAACGTTCAATGTTTTATAGATGTCAGCTGTATTCACTTCAGTCAGACCCGCTCCACCTCTGCTTTTCAGGCCTCGTTCTCCTATTCTAGCCTTTAACGTAAGAATTCACAGGCATTTCGGTTAACAACCTGATCCTGCGTCTACTCTAGATAACTTGTCGCTTGACTTCTGTTAGGCCTCCGAAATTTAAATACAGGATCCGAATGCAGTTTGGGTTGCGGCACCCTCTGTATATGGACATCAGACTAGGGACTTCTTATGATCTTTCAGTTGATTCCGCGGGCTTGATACTTGTAAATAACCGACCAGCTTCGATAGAAACTCGAACTGGTCGAAGTACTGAACACTCTTTGCTTGTTCAACTTTGTCATTACCGTCACATTGGAATGCACTCCATGAATCTAGATATCGAAATCACATCTGGAGAGAGACTAATCGACTTGAATATTGCGGATGACTTCGTTTTGTTGTTCCGCGCAAAGTACTTTGAACAGAATATTTAATGTGGTCCCATGCTTCAGCATGCGTTTTGCCCCTTCAAAGTACGGTGTCTCAAATCAGGACTTACCATTCTGTCATACTTCGCCGAACCTTTGAACTGAGGTCCTGCACTTTGTTGTTCTGTCCGTATATCTTAGTAATTGTGTAGCTCAGTTGAAGCTGTTTTGCACCTAATCGGGGCGCGAGCAGTGTTCGCCAGCTTACGTTATTTTTGACGTCAGAATCTAATTTCGGGACGCTGAAGGGCCGTGTGTTCAAGGCAGTTGCAAGGGCGTTTCTTCCCTCTGTCAATATATATATATATATATATATATATATATATATATATATATATATATATAAAGTTGACTGACCCGTGCTCTACACACCTTGTGATGGAAGGCCCATGTATTGACGTCGTCATAGCTAATGAGGGTTCCTAGGTGCAGCTCTGACCGCTGCCGCTCGAGAATTAATCTCAGTCGCGGTACCTCCATCTCCCGGTTTCCTTTTCTAAAAGCATTCAATGCACCCCTGCATTACTGAGCGGATTTTCTCACCATACGTTGGCAATGCTAAGAAGAATCGTTTGTTATACTTTGGAAATCTGTGTATATCACCTACTCTTATCGACCACCTTCATGATCTACCCAACAGAATCGGGTGCTTTATAACTTTTGCACTCTACCAGCTACAAGAAAGCCGAAGTTTACTTTGATGCCATCGATATGGAAGTGTAATAAAAATCATCCTAGCCTCGCCGTCTTAGCTGAAGGACCTAGAGGAATGATTCGATTGTTTGGTTTGGTGAAACACTGGCTGACACTCAACTTAGTTTTTTGTGATTCTCCCAGGGAGAGATGGGGGGATGGCTCAACTGATTAGAGCGCGAATTTACCGACCGGAAGGTCTGTGGTTCGAACCCGACTTCTGCCTCTCGACTTGGGCAACCTGGCAGTATCCCAGCCTTCGTGCTTCCTTTGGATAGCATGGCAGCTAGGCACCGGAAGGGTGTTATAGCTGAACGATTTATATATTCATTTCTTCCAGGGAAGAATCATTGGATGCCTAGCACTTTCAATCCGCTTAGCTGTAGAGCTAGCTTAGACTTATTTTCTTGGATACATTCCCGTAACTGGGCCATCTTGTCTTGCTGAATGGTCTGGTGGAAGTGGTTTCCTTAGCTGCTTGGTCATTTAACTACTCTCCGAGCTTAGTCTTCTTTTTGTGCACCAACTTTTCCACTGGTTAGGCTATACTACTACCACCACTGTTTACAGATGCTAGGCCGAACTGACGGAGTACCTGTGGGTTGGGTGCCGGAAGACTGCATCGGTAATTGGTGGCGGCCGAATTTCGAACCTCCGCGGTACCCCTACATTCCTGCACACGTCACGAAACCAAAAGAGCACACGCGACTCTTCCTCATGCAACTTCCCGAGAAAACCTTGTTTGCTGTCCCGTCCAACTACAAATTGGTAGCGGCTCCTCTCTTCGAACTTTTCGACAATGCCCGAGCTTACGGACCGATCATTTCTTCCTTGCCTCAAGTTCTTAGCCGGTAAGCAATAAAACTTTTTCGCATTCTACTTCTTTGCCGTTATTCTGTTTCATTGGGCGTCTGCTTTTTAAAGGTAAACTGGTCGTGATAGAGAATACCGGAGACAACGCCTGATTCCTTCAAAAGGATCACACTGCTTCCTAACATAACCTATGTTATTCCATCCCACTTTCAATCCCTCTTGGTGCGTACTTGTGTTTTATGCCTTGCCTTACTTGCACACAGCAAGGTACCGGTGATCAACCACCCTGTTCAACAACTATCCGTAAGGGCACCAGTTTGCTAGGTAATTCATCATAAGCTTGGAACATCTACATAGCAGCTCTTAATTTTACTGTAAAAAGCTGCAGTCCACAGTTGAAACGTCCAAGCCTCCTCGACATAAAGGACAGTAAGGTTACACCAACTATCAGCCAAAATTCCGCCACATTGATGCACAGATGTGTTTTTACACATTCGTTCTTACCAATTTGCCTGCATGTTTTTAACGTTCTCTTATATTTGTTTCTCTTAATTGGATGCATGAGACCTTTGTCTTCTTAGGTGATCGGTTAAATAGAGCATCCTCGCAATAATCTTACGAACTAAAACCTTATCGTTTGACCGGCAATCATATTTTGCACGCAGACGAATATACTTTAGTCTGGACTAGTATTGTATGACCTCTTCACGCTGCTTTCTACTTGGTCTTAAAGTGCTTTTTTGAATCTGATGCCTTTGGGCGTTTTGTTGGCTCACATGGCTCAGACGGTTTACTACGCAATCGCAAAGGCCAATAAATCTATGAAAATCAGCACATCGTTACCTTTGTAGTTTTGTCGTTGAACTAAAATATGCCATCATCATGATTTCACTCGTTGTAGTTGCAGCATCGCTTTTCACTTCCCGTGTGCTTCTGTAAACAGCTGTATCGTTCGTCAAATTTTTTGGAATTCATCTTTCCAAATCATCAGCCTGTTTGGCTTGTCACGTGTCATTCTATCGATAGCTGTTCCTAACAGTTGCTTCAATTTCCTTAACTCCTTAGGGACCGTGATTCCCTAATTGCGTTTACTCATATCAGTTGGTGTAATTAGCCTCACCCCGACTAAGCTGATGATGTCTGGGGTCGTGTAAATGTATGGACGCAGATACACACGCGCACGCGACATAATGGCGACCAAATCGTTTCTGACAGAATATTTACTGCGTCTATGTGCATGATTACTGTTGTTTCCGTTTTTATTAATGAAAAGTGGCTTGTGATGATGTTGATTAGAACAGCACGTCCGATCCATGACAGAAGTTGTTTTGCAGAAAGAGGAGAAGGGCAATACGTATACCATTCTTATAGACTACAGTTTAGTGTCACCTCCTCTCCCATGGTACTACACACATACATGGGGCATTTGCAATAACACTGAAGTGGTACTATAGTTTCGTTCGTGATCAGGTATCTTGATCTTATGATATTCCAAAAATTCACTAAAATGAATATAGCAGTAGAAACTGCAAGATGCCTTTCAGACGAAAATCTCCTTAGTTTCGTGGAGGATGAGGCGAATGTTGAACAGATTGTTATGTTCTTGAGTATAAGATGTGTGAAAGAAACTGTAGGGATTAGTTTTATGTTTTCTGGATTCTATGAATGCAGCGATTTTCGGGAAATCAGCCCATGGAACTGATTTGGTACCTTTCCATTATTCCAAAATACTTTGTGAAAAGTCGTGCTCGACAAAATACTTATTATCGATTGAAAATGCCGTGTGCTGAAAAGCTGTAACTGGACCCTTACTCATTGATTTGGTTACATATGACATTCATAACTTCGATACAGTGTTTTGTCAAAGCAGTTTCGCGCTGCGTCCCCACTTACCATCACTAAAATCTGAAATTGACGTTATAATGAGTGTGCGCTATATTATCGCCCATCCATTTGTATGGCCCTGAAGAAATGTGACGAAAGTGAGATTGAATGGAATTTGCGAAGCGGTATGATACTCTCAGATTTTTTGAATGGCCGTGATTGCTCTAAGTTGTTAACTCAGCTAATCTCGAGTAACTTCGAGCATTGAACGTGTTTACAATGTTTCGTTACCAGCTGGCTTTCCCTGTTAATCTGATCATTTTACTAAGGTATTGCCGCCATGCCATACAGTCATATATCTCGTATGACCCCTCAGAACCATTATGCTGATGTCAACGCCGCACCAAAAGACGATTTCCGACTCACGCTCTCGTCTTATTCTTTTTCAGCTTCAATTTCGTCTACAATGATTAATTGGAGGAACTCTTTTCTGGCCACCATTGTTCCACAATGTGTATGATAAACATCTTCCCCCCTTGTATGCCATTTTCCTCTGGTTCGTTCATCTATCCGGTTCGTTCTATCTGGTTCGTTCATCTATCTATTCACCGAAGTGCCTTTTTTAAACGATGGGCTTGCGAGCCCCATTTCGGGTTCTTTGCTTTGCGGGCCGTCCCCTTTTAGTTAACTCACATCCGAACAGCGGGTTTGCTGGCTTCATTCCAAGAAGCTCATGCAAGTACGATTTGTCTCCATTGACAGTCAGTTGCATTTTTTGCGGAACAGTGTGTCAATTAGGCTGTTTGATATCCTAAGTTGCTTGACGAGGTTAGGCAAAAGTCTCACTGGAATCAAAGGAGTCGACTGACGTGGTTTGCACACCTCATAGTCAGGATATATATATATATCTGCCACCGCGCATTGCTAACAATCATCCACACGGAATGATTACCCTCGGTATGGACTACCTGCCTGTGCGTAGGTTCTCTGACAGCATTGTGTAGAGAGAGAGAGAGAGAGCGTAGATGGCGACTGGCCGTGGAAGGCCAGTGAACAAGCACCCACTATTGAAGCACATGTTGGACCACATGTATAGCATATGATATGTCTTGAATCGTCGGTTGGCTAGGGTCCAAACCGGCCACGCCACCGGGGAAAGTCAGAAACCATGCCACCCTCGGAATGTCTGTCAAGCTACTTTTAAACCCACCTTCTAGATGATTGGGGGAACATCTCGAATGAGGATGGTTCAGTGTGTAGCTTTCACAAGATTCCCATGCTAACGATACCACTTAGTATCGGTGTATTAGGACCAATTACGTACAATGTCATCTTCACTATGCTGTAATCACTGGTGATGGGAGCAGTTGATTTGAATTGGTCAACCTGTCTTATATCTGATTGCTGTCCCCACTCCAGCGCCTAGTGCCGGAGAAAAGACTCACAGACAAGGAACACAGCAGCTTTATTAAGAAAAAGCGAGTGAGTGCAAGTACAATGGGCTTGCGCTGTATTTTTAAGGACACCGTTTGGCCTTGATCCAAGGATGTCAGATCGGCGTTTAGCGGAGTTTGAGGGTCTCAGTAGGTTTCGGGTATTCTGGGATAATCTTCAGGAATCTGACAACCTGAATGCGGGAAATGTCTGACTCAAGTCCAACTATCTTGTTTGCCACTGGAAATAAGAGTTTCTCCGATGGGAGTGGCGATATGGCTCGGTGGTTGGAGCGCGCATTTACTGACTGGAAGGTCCGTGGTTCCGACCGACCTCTGCCTCCCAACTTCCCCTGTCTGGGCTTGGGCAATCTGGTAATATCTCGAGCCTTGTGCTTCCCTCTGGTAGCATGGCAGCTAGGCACCGAAAGAGTATGCAAATGGACCTAATCCTACTCAGCGTCATATGTGTGTGCACCGTCAAGCTTGCGCTTTTCAAGCAACAGTTGGAACCCAGTATAGGACTTATGGACGAAACAAGTGAAGCAAAGCACAGGTTCTTTTGTGACCTGAAGTTAATGGCAAAATATATTGAAAATACATTTCAGTAACAGAAAGTAATGTGGGGATTCTCCTGGAATTGTCCTCTAGCACAAGAAATCCCGTCGAGGTTGGATCTCAATAAGAATCACTGTTCGATAAACGGAGGTCCTTTAGGTAAATCTAGACACGCAATATCCATCAGGATTATTCACCTCTTGTTTAATCCGTCGATTTTACACTGTACGCTAGTCTATGAGGAAAAATCCTACGAAGAATGGCTGCTGACTTGGTCTTGACGCATGCTTTCATGACCTATTGTGAGACCGGTGAATGTGGATCACCGAAGGGAAGTAAAAAATTCCAGTTTTGTTTGGTGGTCTCTCCTCGAAGTCCGCAAAATTGCAGTTGCGTCCGCATCATGGACCAGTGAAGCGCACTAATGGATCTCGTCACAGCAGCAAACAGTGCGACCTCGCCAAGCTATAGGGGTGAACTTGGTAAAAATTATGCTGCTCAGATAAGGGTTTTGTCCACAGGATTATGGAAACCGGTACATCAACAAAATACCGATAATACTAAGCATACATCAAAACTCAGTACACAATCTTCCTGCAAAATTCTCCACTATTCAGCGGTCACGGTAATTTTCTGATGAGCCCTAAAAGTAAACATGATACCCTTAATCAGTCAGTCGATTTTTGTCATCTGCATGTATCACATTAATCTGTGTTCTACCTGAAAGTTCGCTCACGAAGGTTCAACCATGCCACAAGGGATAAGTAGAGCTACCAGATAAAGAACAGTGTTTGCCCTCTTTGCAAGTAGATGTAGTAGGAGGTAAACTTAAAGTAGTCATGTTCTTGGTTGGGACAAGAATGTGCTGATGGAGAAGTGTTCCTTAGGCATCAGGTAACTTTATATCCTCAGTAAACTCAATTAACCATGCTGGCGTCGAAGAAGTTTGTTCGAAAGGCGGCTGAGAACATCGGCATGCTATGGAATTGGGCCGGTACCGATATCGACCAAGGCCGCTCAAACCTTGAACCGGGAGCGTGTGACCCTAATTTCATCTTTCTCAATGACTTGTAATTATCCGCTCTATTTGCTGTTCCATTGGTGGATAGATTTTCTTCATTGGATATCACTCGAAAATGATAAATTAGCAGGTATATTGGGGATCGATTTCCCGTGGGGTTTTGCGATTCCTTGCATTGTCGAAACAATAACGTCCTGCTCTGTTCCAGATTTTGGTTTGCTTAAGTCGTTTGCCGCTTTTCAGCTACTTCTTCAGGAATGTCTTGCTAACTCCTACCAAGGGTATAGTCTTTGTTGATATCGACGAACCAACCAAATCTCATAAAAATATAATTAGGTTCCCGAGAATGTGATAGAACAGATCAGTGATAACACCCTCTTTCCCATTCTCGTTGTACTGAATACGCCATGCTAAAAATGGCCTACGTTATACGAAAATTAATTTCATTTTTGGTTTTGGGTCTCTCACTCATTCTAACGGCTTACCAAACTGTCGCAAGTTTTGCGGGGGAGCCTTGTTGAGTGAATTGGTTGGACCCTCTTACACGGTTTGTCATGTATATAATCCTGCACGGAGTTTGACTATTAACATCCAACCGAAATGTTGGGCATGACCCCTTGGGTTCAGGCAGTAAATATGAGATGGCTAACAGCACTGCATACATTTGACAGATTCAGCTTTTCTAGCGGAAAACTCTGCCTGTTGAATATTTGAATGACTTATTTCTTGTCAGCCATTTGGGAAACAAAAGAACACAGAAATCGACTGTTTCAGTGTGTGCATTTTGTGGCGCTTTTGCACAGTATTCTCGGTAAAACAGAAATTGGTGTGGAGTGTGCACAGGTAATTTTTTTACCGTTGACACTGAGTTGTGAATGATGTCATTCCAGGATCCACCGTTCGATTCTTCTTGCTTACGACACTCAGTACAGGCGGAGAGCGTTGTCCACGTTATGACTAGAGCACTTACAACACCATGGTTAGATTCCAAAGTGTAAACTTTACGCAAAGACCTCCTTTCGCTTTACGCTACTCTTTCTCAGTAGTAGCAATATTGATAACTTATTGTTTTGGTCAAATATCCGATGACATATCGCTCGTCTACGATTTAGTATGCAACGAAGGGTGCTGGAACCACTTCATATTAGACCACCGGCTTCAACAGCGCCATTCGCGAGGAACATCCATGCCCTACTAAACCATGTGAATTATATATTGATGGTGAGGTCCTGCAACATACTTATACACTAAACAAAACGTTTCTGTCGAAAGCACCACAGCACAAGTTGTCCAAGTCACATTTAATTATCATGGGTTGATGAGGTAATACTTCAATTTAATGAAATTCTCACTTTATTGGAATGGACGCTGAGGCTGAAGTAGCCGTCACGTCTCGTTAATCTAGTGATTAAAACGTATACTGTGAGATTTGCGATCCGTCAGAGCACAAGGACACATCTAAGGAGAGAAATATCTCCTGAAGTTTGCCTGCTTCCATTTTTAAGCCTTCCAAGTAAGAGTGTACCCAGTGAAATGCCGTTGTAACTTGTGTATGATGCAGTGTCATCGCAGATCACAAGCCGGACTAGCGCCTCTAAGTTGCTGCAAAAGTTTGATAGTGCCGAAAATACACTTACAGATGACAGACAACAACTGGACGGAAGACAAATTTTTGGCCTCCGAGACCCAGTATGTGTAAGTCGTGGTGGAATCCATTCGCTATTAATGTGATAAAATGGAAACTCATGTCCAGACAATCCATAGTGTAGAATACACGCAGATTATTAGTGAAATGTCCATAACCAAAACATGCAAGTGCTATATGAGACGTAAACACTATTGCATGACTTCAGGTGTGCGAAATTAGCAGAGCATGACATTACAGCTGGAAGAAACATTGACAGTTCTCATCAGAGAAATTCTGATTTACCGCTGCTTTCTTTTCATCTCCTTGAACAGGCTGAACAGTGTGAACATAAGATCAACGTGGTTGCTCCTCGTTAAGGTGAACATGACTGGACACCCAGCAGCCACACCATCTGCGACTAGAAAGGTGTACCACCTGTACCTACATGCCATGAACAAGTTGTTTGAACCATAAATTGCTCAAATCATTTTGTCGTGTGTTCCACCAACATCTGCGATACCTAGAAAACATTGATTCCTGCTTCTTCCGATTTTCGAATTTCAACAGCGGAATAAGCTGGTGGTTATCCTACCCTATTTTTTATCTGCATGGCTCTACAGCTACAATAAATTGCCTCTAATTTTGTGGTGGCCTGATCTCCTCTTCATCGCTAATTGCTAGCCAAAGAAGTTTGGGCGGCTTAACCATCCACCCCACACATAGTGTCGGCTACGGAATGTTCAGAAGCCGAAGAATAACAATGCAATGATGCAATGGCAATGGCATGCCCAATCTAAGGACGCACGCGCTATTTTCTAAATGCTGTGGACTGTAACACCCCGACATCTCAAAACATCGTTTGCAGATAAGAACAGAATGTTCATGAGGATCCAACTGCCGCTGATTCTAGCTTGCTGAACTCTTCCCTTGGACTTAACCGTGTGATCGGTCCTCTGAACTTTCAGCCTTCCCTG